TGGGTTTGAACCGCCAGCCTTCTGGTTAGCAGTCAAGTATCTTAGGCACTATGTCACCAGAACTCCCACTAGATCTCATTATTTAATGTATTAATCAAGAAGCACATATATTACTCTATCAAAAGTGTTCCTAAATATTTTGAGAGTTACAGTGAACTGTTTCTCAACCATTTTTTCATTACCACCCCATCTAGTAGGTTTTTTAGACATTTTTCCCTACTGGAAGTACCTCGATAGTCACATCACAAATAGAATTTTATACTCTAAGGTGTAGATGGCAACCTCGTTAGCCCATCCCCAGATCTGACAGTCTCCACCTGGGCTACAGATCACTCCAAAGATTATGCCAAAGATCACTCCACTGGGCTGGCTAATCTCCAATCAGCAAAACCATATTTTCTGCTTCTATTTTTCTTTTTATTTTAAAACTAATAACTAATTTGTTCTAGTGTACACATAAATGTTTTAGTTCTTTCCTTCACTCTTACATTTATTTACACAGGGAGACAGCCCCATGAAATAAAATTTCATGTGCCAATAATGTGATGTGTAGAGGAAATTCCATCAGTCTAGGAGACAGAATACCTGGATTTATGCTCCTATTTGGTCCCTTTGTGTGACCACACCTTTTCTTACATTCTCTTGCCCCTGCAAAATGGAGATAATCCATTCTATCTAACTCTAATGGAATCATGTATGTGAAGGCACTCTATAAATTATAAAGCACTGTGCAAACACAAAGGATTGCTAACAACCTTAACCTAGGCCTTAAAAATAAATGACCACCCAGAACCACAGGGCATGAAATAGCTGTTCTTTCTTTACTGTGACTTGTAAAATGGAAGGGAATAAATAAGTGGACTTTAATTCTAGGCTATGCTCAAGGCTCCTCTGTGACATACATGCTATGAGTTCTTTCTCTTTTAAGCTGTATGGTCCTTCTGTTTCATAGCATCTACTAGAAATGTTCCATCTAGAAAGATGGCCTGTAAATGCAGTTACTCTATCAAATCCATACTTATCTCAGATTATTTTCACTTTTCTGGCTATTCAGGAAGATGTGAATTTGGGACACTGGCCCAGAAGGCAGGGGTTATTGGGGACCGTCTCCCCTAGACTGATAACCTAGCTGGTAATGAACAGTGGAGCACACAGATTCTCTGAGCCAGGTGCTCAAAATACACTGGGGAAGCTCTGAGTGGACAAAAGACCAAAACTTTGGAGAAAAGTTGAAGAGCCTTAGGAGAATCCAGGTGTTGGTAGAAGCTGAGCTGGGCATAGAAGGGATTTTAAGTGCAGGCCCCTTTCTTGATATTCCCACTCTGCAACCCACTGCCATCGAGTCAGTTCTGACTCATAGAGACCCCTGCTGGGTTTCCAAGGCAGAAAATCTTTACAGAAATAGATTGCCCCATCTTTCTTCCACAGAACAGCTGAAGGGTTTGAACCACTAACTTTCTGTTAGCAGTCAAATGTCTTAGGGACTGCATTACCAGAGCTCCTTCCACCTCTGCAAGTCCCTCCCTAAAAGGACACCCTCTAGAAAAGCTGTTCCTGAACAACCTTCTAGCAAGGCCTTCGGGTTGTCTGTTAAATCACAACAGGCTTCAGCTCATAAACAAGTGCCCACAGTGAAGTGGGGGCAGGTACAAAAATAAACTGAAGACTTGCATAAAAGTTGCTTAGGAGTGAACAGAGTTTACAAATACAGAAACACATGGGAAGATGCTTGTGTCAAATTCCCACACTAACAGCTTTCGTCTATTCAAAATTCTTAGTAGCTGAGTGGGTGCAAGTGTGGGGACAGAGAGAGAGAGAAATTTGAGAGGGTTAATGTGGTGTTTTGGTGATTGTTCTATTTAAATTCAGAGAAAGAGAGATGTATTAAGGCTCTAAAGAAAACTAGTTAAATTATGATGGGAACTATGTAAACATGTTATAGATAGCCACAGGGACTTGAAGTAAAATGCAAAAATAAAAGTAATTGTGTCAAGAGAAGCAGGATAATGGGTGATTTCCTCCCATCCCTTTAATACTGTTCAACATTTTCAATTAAATGTGTTTAACTTTTCAAATTTTGTTTCCTGGCTCTCTGGTTAACCTGATCCTGTTGTGTTTTTGTTGTTAGGTGCTACTGAGTTGACTCCAACTCACAGTGACCCTATATACAACAGAACGAAACACTGCTCAGTCCTGTGCCAGCCTCACAATCTTTGCTATGCTTGAGCTCATCACTGCAGCCACTGTGTCAATCCATCTTGTTGAGGGTCTTCCCCTTTTTTCTCTGGCTCTCCACTTTACCAAACATGATATCATCCTCCAGGGAGTGCTCCCTTTTGACTATATGACCAAAGTAGGTGTGGTGGTTAAGTTTGTGTGTTAACTTGGCTGGGCCTGGTTGAGTGGCTGGGCAGCTGGATGTAGTATTCCCCAAGATGAGACTGGTAATCAACTCTATGGTAGAATCTACTGGGAGCAGCTGAGTAGCTGCCTTTGGATATGTGGTCTGCTTCCTGTATATAAGAAACAACTTTGGGAATGATCTTTAGCTTTTGGCATGCTTGAACCCTGCATGTAACCAAGTCATCGTTCAACAGCCTGCCATGCTCTGCTGATCCTGGGACTTTCAATGGACTTGAATCAATGGCTTGCCATGTGGTTTGGTAACATTGGGACTGTGCCCTTTTATTTGTTGACCTTAGCCTCAGCAGCCCGTAGCTGACTGAGTGAAGAGATGCCTCCAGCTTCAGTGGGCTGGGAGCAAGAGGCAGAGCTGAAGCCCAAGGTCGAGGAGCTTTCACCCAGCCCCTAGATCCTGGCACTTTGAACTCAGACTTCTAGCCTCCCAAATTGCAAGAATTAACTCCTGTTTGTTAAAGCCATCCTATTTGTGGTATATTCTTGTCAGAGTGGCACTAGGTAACCAGAACAGTAGGTGAGACAAAGTCTGGTCATTCTCACTTCTAAGGAGCATTCTGGCTGCATTTCTTCCAGGACAGATTTACAAAATCACAATGATCTTATAAAATCACAATTCCCCGAAATTCCTATTTGTTATCCATCACAAAAGTCTCTAGAACAGCAGTTTTCAGAGCAGCAAAACAATGAGCCATGTTTTCGAGGACTGCTTAAACAGACTGTGTCCACAACAATGGAAAACCATAAAAAATAAAAACCTCTTAACTCACTGCCGTCCAGTCGGATTCGACTCATAGTGACCCTTCCTTGGGTTTCCAAGGAGCTCTGGTAGCGTAGTGCCTAAGGCACTTGACTGCTAACCAGAAGGCCGGCGGTTCAAACCCACCAGTCGCTCCTCAGAAGGCAGATGGGGCAATCTATTTCCGTAGTGATACTGCCTCAGAAACCCAAGGAGGGGTCGCTATGAGTCGGGTCCAACTCGACGGCACATAAAAACAACAACAATCACTACGGAAGTAGATTGCCCAAACTTCCTTCGAGAAATGGCTGGTGGGTTTGAACCGCCAGCCCTCTGGTTAGCAGTCAAGTGCCTTAGGCATTATGCCACCACAGAGCCATTAAAAAGGAAGACACAGATCTCAGTGTGTGGGCATGGAACAATCACTGAAAGAAAGTGCACAAAGACAGTTATAAGATGAATCTAGTATTCTCTTATTTGTGCTTAAATATGCATGTGTAACTATGTACCTATCCACAGAAAATTTCTGGAAAGTTGGGAATGGTTACCTCTAACTGAAGAAGGGACCTGAAGGTCTGAGGTGAGTAGCAGATTCACTTTTCATGATATAAACTCCTATTCTGTTTGAAAAAAAGATACGTGTATACACGTATGTTGCTTTTTAAAAATATGGTATCTCAGTGTCACTTTTATAAGAAGTCCTGTTAACTTTCTAGGTAATGCTCTAAGGGTATTCTTCCTAAGTAGTTTTAAGATAGAGAAACTAACTGTCCTATTCTTATCCCCATACTCAGAAAACAGACAATCTGATTTGCCGAGTTGTCAAAATGTGGAGGCAATGTGTGAAAAAACGAAATATGCTCATCTTTTAGAGGGGGAATGTACTGAGATGTATATACATAAGTGTGGCTGAAGAACTGGGTCAGCCTCCCACCAGGCCTTCCTAAATAAAGCATCAAGGAAACGAGCTGCTCACTCTTCTCTTCTTGGAGGGCCCATGGGCGCTCTGAACTTCTAAAGATATACATCACTCCAGACCCAAAGAACCATCCTAAACTCTTGGAATCATGTTCTCCCAAATAATCTGTACAGTGTTTGACCCAAACCCAAACCATCCCCAGGTCTCTCTGGGCCTGTATCAGTATTCTAGAGCTTCACGGAACCAAGGGATTGTGCCTGGATACAGAAGACCAACCTGAACAAGGAAGGTCACTTAAACAACTTCTAATTTCTATGTATGGGACCTATTCCTGGGTCCCTCTGCAGAACGCACTATGTGGCTTTTTACTTTAATATTCTGAACACTTTTTTAAAGGCCACATTACTTTAGCCTTTGAAACTTCTCTTTGCTTTCGCATATTTTAGGTCCTAATGAGGATGTTTCAGTATAAATTCATGAGTTTTTGCCATTTCTCCTAGGTATGTCAGTCTAAAGCATGTCCAGAGTTAGACCAAGGGAAAAAAACAAGACAGTGGACTTAGTTGTCTCTCTTATAAGACTTGATGCCTGTGATGAGCAGGCAAGTCTAGTCCCCCCAAGAGGGAAAAGTCTCTGGCTTGGAGATACTCTGGAGCCAAATAATGGCAGATTTGGACCTTGGAGGAATGGGGGATAGAAACAGGCCTTGATGGGAAATGGTAGAAGAGACTGCAGGGTGCTGGGCAGTAAGGTAAGATGGCAGACCGTTGACAGACAAGAGCACAGCCATGGGACGGCCCCAGACCTTCTTTTCTTACACATATACTACCCCAAAAAACTGAAAAGGGGAGCATTTTCTTGGTTAAGGTAAAAGTCAATTGTGTTCAACACATTTCCTCATAATTTCTGATACAAATGAAGAACTTGCTCATGATGTTCCTTATCACTGTCATGCATACAAAGCCAGCTCTGGCCTGTTTAGAGTTTTTATTTCATTTGTAAGGTCTAAAGGCCTTTCTCCCTCACTCTCTGTGACCTCTGTTCCATTATATAGCTCACTAGTACCTCTAAAGTGGTGCAGAGCAAGAAAAAAACATTCTGGTATGTGCTGCTTTTAGTTTTGAAATTAGCGGCTAAAATGATATCTGTGAATTTGACTAGTTATGCTTTGTCCCAAGACCACAAATAAGCCCAAACTGGTTGCACTTCTGGAAAGTAATTTTTTTTTATCTGCTTTCTCTGTGTCAGTCAAGTGATTTCAATACTTTTCACCAGTAGGCCTCTTTCCGGAAGCTGGGGAGAATTCCCACTATAACTTACACCACCCCAAAAGAACTGGTGCATTGAACTTTTTCTTAAATACAAGTAGTTTCTCTGTCATCATGAACCTTACCTCACAGTATTTATCTTTAAAATATTTCATTATTTTGGCGATCTTTTCTCCAGATTTTCCATATCACTCTCTAAATTTGAAGCTCCAGACTGGAATGCAGTCTAGCACACACTATGACAAAGCCTGGTGTGGGATCAGCTCCCTCCCAGTTTCTATGGGGTCTTCTTTCCTCTATAGATGCCAGCATTCCAGCTGCTGTCCTTCATAGGTTGTACTCACCAGCCCGAAGGACAACTGCTGACTCATGCTCACTTCGGGCTTTGCTAGGACTCTGGCTCTTTTTCTGCACTTCAGTCACAACAGCCACCACCCACTTCACAAAGCATGCCACCCATCACCTTCTGGGGACTCAGCTCTGACCTGACAAGGAGTCTTATACAAGTTTGCATTTCTTCACCCACCCCTACCCCTGCCCCAGGAGCCCACCTGGAAGACGTCATTGGCACACTTGCGGCACAGGTTGTGTTGGCACGGCAGGATCACCACTGGTTTGGAGAACATCTCCAGGCAGATGGGGCAGATGAGCTGCTTCTCCAGGTTGTCCATGCTGTGTGCATCCCCTAGCAGCGGCTTGAAACCCACTGTGAAGTTCATCCCCTCAGTGATCGTGCCTGCCCTGGCCTTGGCCCTTGTCCTGGCCTTCTCTCACTGCCTCTGGACCCTTCCTCTTTTCCTTTAGACAGTCTGTGAATTCTTATGTTCCCTTCTGTTGCACACTCTTGAAACAGCTCTGCTATCTCTCCTGTCTTCTCCTTTAACAACTTGCCTTGTCCTTAGATAGCTGTCTCCAGATACTTTGGCCTCACTCTGTTCTCTGCTCTGTCCCTTAGCCAGGCACACTTAGCTTTACTATCCCTCCCTCTGTCCCTAGAAAAATTCTCCGTTTGTTCCTTAAATGACTCTCTCTTGGTCACTCTGTAGGCAGCACTGTTTGTCCCTCACTCTCCAGAGAGATTAATTTTAACGGGGGGTGGGGAAGACAAGGGGCATCTGCATGTCATTCCAACTCCCAATTTAGCTTCTGTAAGGCGAGCCACAGCTGTCATTGACTGAGTGACCCTGACTCACACAGGAATGGGTGACTCCCTTGAGCAACAGCAGGGGGTGAACTTCATTGTTTGCAGTGAAAGGTGGGCCAGCAAAGGTGTCAGTCTCTCATTTGCTTCTACTTAGAAGGCTCCAGTGAGTCCCTGACCTCCATGCGCTAGCTTGGGGTATTCTTCCAGGGCAGTGACACAGAATTCTAAATCAGCCTGTGTGAGAGCCACTACACATGGCTCAGAGTGGGAGGAAAACTCATCAGACCTACAGTCAATGACAGCTTCCTCCTTCTCCACAGGCTTAGCAGTGACCCTGGCCCTCCTCCTCAAGATCCTGTGATTCAGAACAGGGGTGTCAGAGACTAGAGATACAACCTCTTGTCTAACACTTCTGGTTCATTTTTTGTCCTTGCCCAGCCCTTTCTTATATCACCCTAGGATAAGGTGCTCAAAAAGTTAGGCTGTTGTCCTAGGGTCTGGAATCACCTTCTGTGAATGCCCACTGTGAAGGTGTAAGATTCTCATTCGTGAACACACCGCTGGAACCACTCCAAGGACCTTTAACTTTGTTTGGAAATCAGGGGAATGAGCTGGACAGAAAGGACCTGAATGCCAGGGACCTATTTTAGGCACCAAGGGAATCAGTCTCTAGGGATATTTTAGAGCATTGACAAAGTGCATAATCACAAGGCTCCTGGAAGCCTCTGCCCCAACCCCACAGTTGCCCTGGACTATTCCTTTCCAAGCTAGGTTGGTCTCAGGTTTGAGCACTAACTCCATGTCTTTTTCTTCTACAGGCCTTTTTTCTATCCCAGGCACAATTTCTCTCCGTACACCACCCCCCGTCCCCAACATATGTACTGGGATTGAACAAAAACTCTTTATTTGCTGATGTTTCTTAGCCCTTCTTCAGTCAGGGGAGAGAAGTTTGAGTAATTACTAGGCTTTGACCCTGGGAGGATGAGAAATAAATGGTGTGGATGGGATACCAAACAGGCAGAACAAAGAGGCACGTGTGGGGAAAGAGTGTGTAAAAGTCCTTTCTCTATCACATGTCTCATGCCCCTGTTTTAAGAATAAAATATGTGGTAATCAGCTTGCATAAGATGTGGTAAAAAGGATAGAGGCAAGCAGGCACTGATATGTGGAGTCCTGTCAGCCCACAGGACCCATGTCAGTGGTTGCTGTGCTGGTAGCTCAAGTCCAGGGAGAAGCCAAAGGTGAGATGACTACTTCTAAGCCTCAAATGCACTCATACATCTGAGCTGACGCATGGTGACATGGAATGGACCTGGCAGTGCCAAGGGCATGGGTACCAGAAGGTGAGGCCAGTCTCAGAAAGGTGTAATGGCTTAAGAATGAGGCTGACATGAGGGGTTCAGAGTTGCAAGAAAGGAGGGTTAGTTGGAGCAGCAGCTTCAGGGATGGGATCCACCCTGCCCAGTCATCAGGGTCTTGGTGGAGATATCACAAAAGGCTCAGGGAGCTGACCTGCTGACATTGGCTCAAATCCCAAGAAAGGCATAGATAAAAAAATATTAAGGAAAAATCTATCACCACTGCCTGAGATCTCACAAGGGTAGGATTGGGAGGACTGCTCTCTGATAGATTGAAATTGGTACTGGAGCTACAATGAAGAGTAGTTGAGTGACCCTGCATGGCCAGGGTTGGTGGTACTATCAAGAGCAGAGATGGTGTCCTCCCTGCAATGGATGACATTAATGCTTCTGAAGTCGGGATTCTTACAAGAAGACAGGTTAAATCAGGTTCAATGTCAGGAAAAGGCTGCTTGCTCCTTTCTTCAACATGTCCAGTGGACAGAGCAGCAAAAGGCACCCTCACTGGGTCAGCACCTATGGGTAAAAGATGTTGACGCCTTACTAACCAAAGAAATGGTCACCCTGAATTTAAAGCAAACCCCCGATGACTAAGAATATAAACACTTGTAGTCAATACTACAAGGATATAAACTTTCCACTAACCACTAATCTAAAGTCTATATTCCTCTCTTATCCTTTAATTATTGCTGCCTTTTGTTTTCATAACTTACCCTTCTGTATCTTTTAACAATCATTTTCATTGTCAGAATCTTCTTCTCTTCTAAAATTATTTTTGGTCGCTATAATGGAATTTGAAAACAAGATAAAAATATTTAGAAACAATTTTTCAGTCTCCTGGTAAGGAAATCATTACCTTGTAGTTACTCATTAGCATCACTAGGTGGCAATGTGTATGAATGTCAGTCAACCCGTAATTTTAAATTTTACGTACTTAGGGTGGACATAATCTCAAACCCTTATCATCCTTTTGAGTAAATGCAATCAGCTGCAGCCTCTAACCTGTTTTCAACTATTGCCTTTTTAGGCATACTCTCCCATCCACTCCTCAGCTCAAAAGTCATGAGAGGCCAAGATTATGTTCCAACAGTCAGTTTGGCCCACAAGCCCCTCAGAAACATATCGTATCTGCTTCGTTTTCTTCACTCACTTAAGGGTTCACTGTTGCACAGAAATTTCTCATCCCAAACTATTTCTTTTATTCCTAATCCACATTTATCACTTATCTCACTGTTGTGACTGCTAGTTGCCATCAAGTTGCTTTTGACCCATAGCAACTCCAGTGTGATAGAGTGGGACTCCCTATAGGCTTTTCTAGGCTGTGATCTTTATGGAAGCAGATCGCCAGGTCTACCTCCCACAGAGCCACTGGGTAGATAAACTTTTGAGCACTTAACCTTTGTGCCACCAGGGTTCCTCGGTGCTTACCTCAGCTCCTGCCTATTGTTCTCACCTGATCTTGAAGGCTGAGTCCTGACATTCTGTTGATGGTTTCTCTTAACTATCTCCTCAGATGGTGGCCTAAGTGCTCCACAGCAAAAGCAACAGCAACAACAGAAACAGCAACAAGTGAGCAGACAACACAGGAGGACAAGAGTCTACAAGGCAGGAGAGAATGGTCTCAGCCCAGCAGTTCCTGCTATATTACCGTTCAAGCTCCCCTCCCTGAATCCTCCTAGCACTCAAAAATTGAAACACTCTCATTTGTCCTAAGAAAGGGGAGTGAACTGGCCCTCTTTCCTTCGTCTTAGGGGACTAGGAAGAATTGTACCTTGAACCAACAACTATTCATCACAAAATAGTATCTGACGCCTTCTTCGCCAAAGTGATCATATATGTATATTCCCAGTGAGCCATGCCGGTCATAGACTTTCCGCTTCTTAGGGTCACTCAATATGGCGTGGGCTGTGTTGATCTCTTTGAATATTTCTGCTGCTTGAGGATCTCCTGGATTCTTGTCTGGATGATACTTCAAGGCCAGTCTCCTACCCAGGCAATACCCATAAAGAAGGGTGGAGAGAGGATGGGGGATGACTAGGGAGGGAGGGTTAGTTTGGATTACAAGGATAGGATTCTAGATAGTACAGAAAGAATGCATGAGATGTGATACAGAGGACAGGGCAAGCAGCCAAATTCCTTCCCATGCCACAATGAAGAAGACACTGGTCCCATGTAGCCCTAAAGCAAAGACTTAGGGATTTGAAAATGGGTTCAGAAAGCAAGGTAGAGAGAAAACGGTTTAAGGGGGGAAATTTCAAGGTTGAATAAAAGGCTGATATTTGAACCTGTAGGACTTTTTTACATCCTCAGGTGAGGCACCCTTCTTAAGCTCCAACACTGCATACAGGCTCGTTCCACTTTTGGACAGCCGACGGGCTGCTTCATCCATATGAGACATGATCTGGGCCAGAGCAGAAGAAGAATTTGTGAGAACTTCTACAGGTGAGGCTGTGAAGAAGCAAGCTTTCAGAGACAGGGAACTCATTGTCTTCCCAGGCTAGGCAGGTAACTGACTATAAAGAAGCAAGTATAAGACAATAGTGACTGGGATCTGTGACTTGCAAGAGTGCAGGTACCCATAGAAGGCATTCAATGTAAACTTTAAAGCAAATTTTAAAGAGTTAACATCCTCCCCTCACATCAATGTTCTTCAACAACACAGACCTCTAGCCATCCTACATCCTAGAGAGGTGTAAGTGAGAAGAGAGCTAAGTTATGGGAAGAAATTGATTTTGTTCAGAAATCCCAGTACCTTAAGTAAACAGCCCTGGGTTTGTCCAAGATGGGTTTAAAAGACAAGGTTGGCTCCAGATTCTGAGCAAATTGGGTCAGGACTCAGGAAGATCCACAATTATCAAGGAGAAACAATTCAGACCACATCATGTGCTGCCTAAACAAAGCTGGGTGCACAAGAAGCCAGGCCAGAGGGCAGTGTTTGCAGCTAGGTCAGGAGACTTTCTTCTTCCCCTTAGCCTCCCATTCTCATCCCACCTCCATCTCTCAAAGAGGAGGGGTTAACAGAGAGATGACTCCCAGACTGAAGAAGGAAGTGGAAAGGGATGGCTGTGTGGGTGGTGACCTGGCACCAGGGAGCAGAACCCCAGATTGGAGGAGTGGCTTGGGAGACTTGTGGCCCAGGAAAACCAAGGCAACATGCTCAGAAGAGATGCTCTGATTTCCCAGCTTTCCTCTGGCTCTGCAGCCATAGGACTACTGACTCCCTATGTGGGTTCAGCCCTTTACCTTGGAGTTGCTCTCCTCACGGAGTAGGCCTCACACACCCTCCACCCTCTCAGGTATGAAACTTCATACGCCGGCCGGGCCCTGGGGGCCGACTGCGCCTGCGCCCTGCGCAAGCTTGTGCGTGGAAGCTCCCACCACGCTCTGGGAGGCTCTTGGCGACAGCGGAAGGGTTGGGAGGTTAGGCCACGTAGTTCCTGGGACTTATCTCACTCGCACGAAGCCTCAGCGAAGGGATCAGCTGGCGCCAGCGGCCCAGGGCGGCTGAGTGCTTGTCATTGATCATTTCTTTCCCTTCCTCCTGGAAGCGCCTACACATCCTTCAAGACCATTCTCAAATGGTAATATCTCAGAAACTTTTCATACTCCCCCAATTACTCCCACCTCTTTTGTCAAAGTATTTTTGTGTTATATTGTAATTATTAGTTAAAATTATATGTTGATCGTTTCCAAAAGTCACTTTAAATATTATTCCAACGTGAGGATGACCGTAGTTTAATTATATATCCAGGTTGGATAGTTAAATTGTGTCTGTTTTATAGTACAAATAACCTTACAATGAAAATTCTTATACATAAATCTTTGAACAAATCTCTGATTTTTTTCCTTCGGAAATTATTGGGTTAAAGTGAAATTTTTGAGACTCTTAATCCATAGTGCTTTCTTCCCAGACAGGTCCCTAAAGTGCCAATTTACATCCCCATCTGCAGGACACAAGAGAACCTGTCTCTACCTTGCCTTACTTATGTGATCTCCTAAAGGAGAAGTTAGCTGCACCACTTAAAATTTACTACAATGTTGTGTTGACTTTCTTTACAGAACACTCAATGGCTCCCATAACATGTAATCAAAAGAATTTTATTACTTCAATAATACCTCTCTGTTACTGTTCTTACCGCTTTTATCACTTCCTCCTCTCTTTTTTTAAAAAAAGCAATTATTTAAACACATTTACCTCCCCTTTTTCTAGGTTTTAAAGTGGTAAATCAATATTCCACCAAAACAAGAGTGCAGGAGTGAGCTATCTAACCCAGCTAAAGAGTCTGTATGCAGCAGGCACAATGACTACTGAATTAATGGATTTTTTTGGTAAATTTATTCCTCTGTGTGTGTGGTGGGATGGCCATGGAATGAAACCCTTTGGGTTTTTTTACATCTAGTACATAGATTCTGGGTCAGATGAGTTTAGATGAGAAGGAGCTGAAGGTGACAATATTTTGGGGTTGTATATGGCAGATTTCTCTAACTACCCTCCAGCCTTTCAGACTATCATGGGAGAACTAGCAGAACAACCCAGCTCATTTCTTTGGTAGCATTGGGAAGAGAAAGCAGAAGGTATTAGAAGTTAAGTGCACTTACAACAAATTCCTTATCTCAGTCTACAAGGCCCAGTGTGGTCTAATCCTTGCTTCTCACTCCAGCCTCATTTCCTACCACTGTCTTACTTGCTCTTTTCTCTGCCCCACTGCAGGCCTGTAAGTGCTTTGAAGACACTGTGTTCTTATCTATACCAAAGGCCATTGACCACACTGTTCTCTCTGCCTGGAGGGCTTCACACCAGGCTTTTCAAATGGCTGATGAAATAGGGTATTGTCTTCAGACCTTGTCTAACTTCATGAGGGGGGAGGATAATCACCATTAGCATCAGTCCAAAGCTGATTTCTCTGAGGTGGAAGTCAGACATACCTCCATTCTTCAGTCTTTTTACCAACTCTGAAACCAACCATCCCAACTACGGCACTCTCTACTTCTCTGCTGCATTTGATAATTCATTGCAAGGACCATAAAACTCACAGACCATACTCATGATTATGGGGTTTATTAGGGAAGTAACAATTCAGTATCAGGATCAACTTGGAAGTAACAGGAACAACTCAGGAGATAAGATTTGTTAACCAGGACAGCTTCCAACTTCTCAGCTCCTTCTCCACTGTGTCTGCAGTCAGGCAGGCCTGACTCTCAGCTGTGCCCTGCTGGCTTTCACTCTCAGCCTCTGCCCTGCTCAGACAAGTGTTACAGCTCTTTAGCTCTGCCATCATGTACCTGGGAGCACACTACTCTACCAGCAAGCCTCCTGCCCAAAGGCACTCAGCTCTCTGGCTCCATGGATCAGCAAGCCTACTGTAGCCATCTTGCACTGTGGGCCAGGAAGCCTGCCACAGCTGCCTTGCTGCATGGGTTAGTGAGCCCACCACTGCCACCTCACTCCTTGGACCAGGAAGCCTACTGCAGCTGCCTCACTCTGGTCTAGTTCTCACCATGTGTGCTGTCTTGCTCTGTCTTGTGCCACCTTGTATCTCTCCAGTATTACAGCTCTCTGTCTCCTGGTCTAGAAGGTTCTCGGCATAGGGTCCCAGGTCTGAAGGACATGCTCTACTCTTGGTTCTTGTTAATGGCAGTGAGGTCCCCTTCATCCTCTGTGGGATCACCCCTTACAAGCCTAGCAGGGTGGCAAAACTGACCAGTCCCTTTGGTAGGACACAGTCACCTTATTTGCATAGTCCCAGGCAGCCCTGGTAAGAATTTCATATGCTTTATCTTCCACTCAGTCATTTTTGGAAGTTATAAGACCATGGCTGTTGTTGTTATGTGCTGTTGAGTCGGACCCCACTCATAGTGACCCCTCCTTGGGTTTCCGAGGCAGTATCACTATGGAAGTAGATTACCCAACCTTTCTTCTGAGGAGTGGCTGGTGGGTTTGAACTGCCAGCCTTGTGGTTAGCAGTCAAGTGCCTTAGGCACTACGCTACCAGGCTAGAAAGGGCATATAAAAAGAGAAACCCATTGCCCTGCATTGGGGATCTCAGCTTCATGTCCCCTCTTCAGAGATGCCTTCTAAACTGAGTTCCACTCCCCATTATAACACCCTTGCAGTGGTTTTGAGTAGATATTTACTTGTATGCTAATTTGTTTACTATATGCTTTCCCCAGTAGACTGTGGACTCTATGAAGGTAGAAACCTTTTTTTGTTTTGTTAAATCATTGTATCCTCAGCACCTGGAACCATGCCTAACTCTCAGTAAGTGAATAAATGAATTGTCAATTGAGGGAGCCCCCTGCTGCTCCAATGTAGGCCTGAGGGTTAGGTCATAGCAAGAATTCCCTGGGACAGAAGCACTTAGCTGGGGAATTGGACGGGACTGTACTACTTGTCGAAAGTGAAGATGGTGTGAAGCACTTACTGATGAATGTCAAAGACTACAGCTTTCAATATGGATTACACCAGAACATAAAGAAAATGAAAATCCTTGAAACTGGTTTGATAAACAACATAATGATAATTGGTGAAGAAGTTAAAGTCGTCAAGGGTTTAATTCTACTTGTATCAATAATTAGTACCCACAGAAGCACCAGTTAAGAAATTAAATGATGTATTGCATTGGGAAAATCTGTAAAATACCTCTTAAGTGTTAAAAGGAAAATACTCTGACAACTAAGGTGTCCCTGATCGAAATCTGGCCTTTTCAGTCATCTCATGGTCATCTCATTTTTTCATCAGAAGAAAAAGCTGGACAATGAAAAAGAAAGATCAATGAGTTGGCACATTTAAATTGTGCTGTTGGTGAAGAGTATTGAATATACCATGAACTGCCAGAAGAACAACCGAATCAGTTTTGGAGGAAGTACAGCGAGAATGCTACACAGAAGCAAGGATGGTGAGACTTTGTCTTGCTTCCTTTGGACATGTCATCAGGATAAAAAAGCAATTGGTAAAATAGTAAATGCTTGGTAAAGTAGGGGGTCAGCAAAAATGAGGGAAACCCTCCATGAGATTGATTGATACAATAGCTGCAGCAATGGGTTCAAGCATATCAGTGATTGTGAGGATGGTGCATAAGTTGGAGCTGACTTGACAACAACAACAGGATCCATCTTCCCTCATATAATATAACGTATCACAGGAATGCATTTGATAGGAGATGACAAAGGTGGTAAAAAGAAGAAGATAATGCTTCTGAGCTTCTAGTATCTTGTTTGTTTTAGTATTGTCTCAGTTCCTAACTCAGGTCCTGGGCTGCTGTAGGTGCTCAATAAATGTTGGTTGATTGAATGAACAACACATTTTTGTGTGACTTCAGAAGTACTTTCATCTAATCATCTTACATCATCACAACAATCCTGAGAGACGGTATGATCACATTCCTTATTTATGGAAGA